TTTTTATTTCTATTTAAAAAAAGTTTTATTTTTATTTTTTTTAATAATATTTTTTTCTTAAATATAAAATTTTAAAGTTTTTTTTTTTTTTTTTTTTTTTTTTTTTTTAATAATATATATTATATATATATTATTACAGTGGCAGTAAAGCTATTAAAGCTTCATTATACAGGAAAACTATTATGAACCAGAAGGGAAATGCTGATCGGGCAGATGGAATAGCATATACATCAAATCCTCAAGGTTCATATGAAATATCTATCACTGAGGGGAGCCGGCCATATAATACGGATAAAAACAAAGAAACATGTGATTTTATTCAAAACGCAAGAGCCGCAAAAGATATAATCAATTATGTTGTGGCACAAGAGGTTTTAAACAAGCGACCACTTCCATTATATTTTCGGACCTATATGATTCAAGTTTATGAGTTTCGTTTACGTTTCTATTTCATGGATTATCTTGGTAAGCATATATATAGTATATTACTTTTATGTTAAATTAAATGTATGCTAATTTTTTTTTTAAAAATTTTATAAAAGGACAATATCGTCTTTTTGAGATTGAAAAGTGTGAAATACCTACAGATTGGAGAGAAGTTTCATTATTCACTTCTTTCTATAAATCAATTGTGACATGGGCGGTAAATATACACACTGTACATTGTTATTTATAAGAACTTTGTTATTTATTATTTTATATTTAGTTATTAGTCGGCGAATCTGACAGAAAATTTCAGGAAAATAGGGAAAGAAAAAGCTCACGTCTCAGTAACAGTCATAATGTTCGAAAATTATTAAACCTTGCGCATAATAATGAGCGAGGTGGTCAAAACGTGATATGACGATACACAAACTTGTATGAATATATTTTGCAATTAGGGATGTTAAACGGTTTAGAATATCTGGTTCAGTTTCCGAACATTAAATATGGGTAATTATCCTTGAAGGTGAACAGTGATTTTTTGGACCTCATAATTGTAGTCTTAGTTTTGCATTATATACGTATTATTGAAAAAATAGGAACCAAAAAATCTTATCTAACATTTAGTCGCCTTCAAAGATAATTGCTCATATATACATGTATATGTACTATTAACGTAATAAATACAATGATTGTCCCAAAATAGAAGTGTTATTATCACTTGGTTAAATATTAAACATTTTTAGTCGTATTAACGAAATTGTAAGTATATTGAGTAATCAAAAAAACATGAGTTATTATTTATTTAAGGTTTGAAATTTATTTAATTATTGTGAGAATACAATGGTCTTTCTCTTTTTATATTGGTACTAACTTATACATCGCTAACTTTAAACTTGTCCTACAAGCAAATCGAGATCAGAGCCTTCTGGTGAGCCAGAATCGTTATGGGAAAAATCAACCCAAAAGATTTTGATACCAGAGCACAAAAAGATACCGTAAAAGATTTACAAGCAAAAAAGAAAAAGCACAGGAGGCTACAGAAGCGGAGAAGAAAAAGAGAAAAGGTTCGTCTTATATTGCCCTTTTGAGTTATTTTCCCTTAATATTTTTATTAAATCAATTGTTTCTTTAGTGCATTAAAAAAAGCCTATGTGGTATTCTAATGTATTAGCAGCTATCGAATATTTTTGATGTATTGTCTTACAGACCATGGACAGGAGACTCGAGAAATATACGAATTGACCTTAGCATTCATTCATCAAAACCTTAGTGATCAAGCTCAAGATATAATTTGAAGTGCTGCAAACGACATTCAACAAATTTTTAAAAATTATTTATTCAAGGATTTTGACAAGAAAAGAGATATTGAAACGATCATTGCTACCACTGCACCAGATAGATTTGCGCATCTAATGAATTTGAGGAAAAAAATAAGATTATCATCCTGGGAATTCCATGAATGACAGTGAACTTTCAGGCGAGGTTGCTGATGAACTTGGAATTGCCGTAGTATTTGATAAAGAGGAAGAAGATGAATTTTAAAATACAAAGTTGAATCCAAGGAGGAATATGACGATGAAGATGGTGTGGAAGCATTGACAACAAGAGTATTGGACATTGGTCAAGTTGAGGATGATAAAGATAGAGAGATTTATTCAAATGAAGAAAACGAAGGGCTCCAAATTGCTATTGGTCTAGATACTGCCAAATCAAAGGTCACTGGTGTACAGGCTTTACAAAAATATCTGCATGATATTGATGCCTTCTGGCTTCAGCGTCCAATATCAAATTACTATTCAGATCCACACACTGCACAAGATAAGACGGCGAATACCATACAAATACTTGGATCAGACAGAAATACAAGTGACTGCGAAAATGAATTAATGAATCTTTTTGATAATGACAATTTTGATCTGATCAATATATAGACAAGAAATAGGAATTAATTTTATGGTGCACGAAACTTGCTAAAGCTAGAACAGACAACGCTAAGCGACAAAGTTTTGAACGCGAAATTTGCGAGCAAGGATTTGAATGGATACTTAAAGAACTTGAAGGAGAGAGAATTCGTCGTGGTGAAAGTGCCCGCCCGGAAAGATGTGGTTGAGGACGCAATGGAAATCGATGATAAACCCAATTTCCGCTTCTGTCAAGGCTACTTTGCCTTCAGTAACGATGGCAATATTTGAAGCTATAATTGATCTCGAATCGCTAATGTTTACACAAGTGAACATTTAATGCCTAACAAAAAGCACAAGCTGTTAAATGGATCTCATAAGATGTTGAAGATGGTAATGATACCTGTTGAGGCCGGATGAAGAAAGGTAATAATCATATATTACTACTATGTTTATTTAAGAAAATATTACCAACTCAATTCTGATTTTGACAAGTCTGATCAGGTTTCTAGTTCGTGTGGTCGAGGTTCAGTTTTTTTGCGGGTATCAAGGAGAATGACATTTCGCAATTCAAAACCGAAGTCTAGCAGAATGTTAGGAGGAGGAAAACCTTGATATTCTTTGACGAAAAAAACACATGTAATAACATTGATCTCCTAGCGGACCTAATGGCTCGTCAAATATATCGTGAGAAACCGATTCATCATAATACAGTGTGATTCATAATTTTTTGAAATTGGTTTTTTAATATAATTCTATTAATAATTATTTAAATATTATAAAA